CGTTGATTTTTCATAATTTTTTTAGCTGATGTGTTGTGCGTTATCTTCCATATAAAATCTGCTCGACAATTTCTTTTATATGGAAAAAAAGCCCAGCAAAAAAATATTAAAAATCTCTATGGAGTAGTATTGGTAAAATACTATCATCCATCGAATCTCGTCCCAGTCAAAGATGGAACGCGATATGATAGGAATTTTCACTCTAAGAAATCCATTTATCTTCCAAGGAACAGGAGCCCTTTGAACGCGCGTAACAACATATAACCCTGCAAACTTGCTTGAAGCAATTATTTTAGAGTTTTAATATTTTAAATCGGAAATGCATTATCTTGCTTTTTTGTGAAGGATGCGTCCGTTTGTAGATTAAGTAGCAGATGGACGTGCTCCCCAAGCATTCGCTCCTGCAACACCTGATAAATTGGTTGTAGGCAGTTTAATTTTTGTCGCAAAGTGAAAAGAGCTAAAATATTAAATTTGCTGACAATTTTAGAACAGGCCTTGTGGAAGTTTTGGTTACTGATATTTTTTTTGGTTTCCTTAAACAACTGATTTTTTGCAGCGTTTAAGACCCTAGTTCGAAAAATGTATCATTAAAAAGATAATTTAAATGGAAATTTTTTAGATGAGATTATCTGATATACATATAGTCTGATTCATTATCCTTCAAGTAATGCCAAATTTAGAAACAATGGAATAAGAAAAGGTTTACTTTGTTGACCTCAGTCTAAGATTTTTTTATAAAATTAGATTCAAAATAATTTTTATGAGCTTGAGTATTAAAACAATAAAAAAAGGAAAATGTTTACCAAATCGAACGTCAAAGCGGCCGGTACATAGTGCAAAGTTTTGGTGGACATTTTGTTCAAAAATGCTGGAAAAGTCAGTTTTGAAGGAGAAGCTCGGCCGAACACCTAGCAAAAGCTTAAGCGCCCGATAGTTATTGTTTTTTTTTTTTAAATCGCCCCTAGCATATCTCTAATTTCACTTACATATTCTTCAGCTAGTCTCTTTTTGCATCAATTCTCCTAAATTGCATGCCTCATAATTTTGTGAGGTGTAAATTTTCATAGCAATTTTCAATCAACAAATTCTGCGCCCTAATAAATTCTACAACTTGCGGCAATATTTCAATTGGTTACCATCCAATAAAAAGAGCCTGGTAACGGTGAACTCAAAGCAACCAACCACAAGCACACAGCCAAACCGTATAAAGCACAAGAAAGAAATTCACCTTTCGAAGCCAAAAAATCGCTTTTAGTCAAAAATAAAAGTGTACCACAATTTGCAGCGCATCGCCAATAGCGGCTATGTGGCAGCAACCACATTGCTGGCGCACCGCTGCTCCACTGAAAGTTTATCACTTATTCTATTATATCTATTATATAGTACTTCATCAAAAGTGCAAAGCGCTAGAGAGAAAAGGCAACAACACCACAAACAAAAATCGAAAATGTGCGCTGATCAGCAGCTACTCATGCCACATGAATGGCAAGGTACTTGCAACACGCTGCTCTTGCATTTTTTTGATTTAGTAGCGCGCTTTGGTAAAAAAAACAGTGCAACTAAAAATCCACCGCCGTACCATTTCCCTGCAATGCGATTAGTTTAAGCCAAAAACTAGCGCTGCTACTCGTTGCCGCTACCAAAAAAACTGGCAACCTGCTTTGGCTCAATAAGCATTCACCTTTCCGCTCAAACTCTGCGCTTACTTTGTACAAATTTTGCGGGCCACAGGGCTTTTCTTCCCTCACTATTCACTATTCACTAAATCTATAATTTTTTTTGAGCGCGTAATCTCACTGCTGGCTGCTGCCACCTTTATGTGGCGTTGTATTTGGCTGAGCTGCCACGTACTCCTATGTATGTATGTAGGTGTTGCCAATGTTTCCAATTTGTGTTCCAGCCCAGCCGAAGTGGGAACAGCAAAGCGCGTTGACAGCCGCAGGGCGCAAGCTGCACTAACAACAATGAACTGCATAAGAAAGTCGTTGTGTTCTTTTGCTGTTTTTGTTTTGCTTTTCAATTTATGTTAACCAAATTGGTCTCACATTAATCCACGTTGAGATCTTGCTTGACTTTTATTTTATTGTTATTCGCTTCCGGCTTTTCTTTGACTTATAATCTTCGATCTGTGAGCATAAGGTGATTTAGTTTTGTGAGGTTTTCCTGTTTTTAATTTTATCGTTTTGAAATATCCGCTAACGGGGAAGTCTAAGCGTCATGATGTTCGGCTTTTACCAATAAGTTAAAAAAAATAATTAAATTATATAATAATAATAATTATAAATATATACTTTTTTTCTTTTTAAAACAGAAAAAAGTAATAAAGAAAAGAAAATCTAATCAAAGAAAGATAAAACTCAAAATGAAAATTAAGTAAAAGTAAATAAAAAATATTTTAAAAAATTAAATAAAATTAAATTTTTTTTCTTCTTCAAACAATAAAATCTAAAAGTTAAAATAGAAAATTAAAAAAATTAAATCAAAAAATATGAAAATAGTACTGAAATATTAAACGAAATAAAAAAATAGTTCTATTTTTTAAACAAAATAAAAAAAAAAAACAAAAAAAAAATTATTAAAAAAGACAAATAATAAAATAAAAAACTTTAATAAAGAAGTATATATTTTTCTCTTAAAAATAATAAAATCTTGAAATTAAAAAAAAAATGTAATTGGCAAAAGAAAAAAATTAAATTAAAACAAATAAAATAAGCTTCTGAAAATTAAATGAAGTTAAAAAAATATTTTTCTTTTTTAAACAACAAAATCTAAAAATTTAACAAAAAAAGAGTGATTGAAAAAATAAAATAAATTTTTATAAATTAAATTAAAAATTAAAAAATATAAATTTTTCTTGTAAAAAAATTAAAATCTTAAAGTTAAATAGAAAAAATTTAAGGAAAAAATTCAGCTGTCCGAAGACTCGAACTCTTATCCCTCGCAATCGCAAGGCGCTCCAAAAATCTTTCTTTTCTATCAGTACGACTAAATCTTGGCCGGCTTGCATTGTCCAAGCACTTCCATCAGGTAGGTGCACACTTACCTCGTGAAATGACCACACTAACCAATGATTGAAGCCTAACCCAAAAGACACCAAAACCTACGCTTTCGGTTTATGAGCGTCAGTAGGCGATACTTTAGAAATCTTACAAAAAATGTCTATCGGTAAAATCGTCAAATTGAGTATCGGATGCGCCGAAGAAGGAGAATGACAATGACATCAAAAACCAATCATATGCGAGCTCTTAAAAAACGTATGAAGGTACTCCTGCTATGATCAAAGAAATTATAATTACATACATATAATTATGCTTGGGGCCTTAAAGAAAGTATACTTGAAGCCTCTAACAACGGATACTGGAAGATCGACTTCGAATTCGATGGCACAGAATCTAGTACCGGTGTTAGGGATGACGGAAATTTGCCCCAAAATACATCTTATTTGGACGTCTTTTGATCAACGAACGAAAAACGAATATGGTCGCTTTTTCAAAAGATAGGCTTCAAGCGTGCTTTAAGTAAATATCTACAGTCAGTTCAATAAGCCAGCAGTACCCCGGAATTTTCAGAATTTCAATAAGACTCAGTTGAAATCCATACGGGAATATACTCTCTACGAAACAAAGAGAAAGAACTGTTGAGCCGAACACTGGTAAAAAACTCGATCAGAAAATAAGATAGCAATCAAATGGATTTTAGACCTCGCCTGGTTTCAGCAAAAATGGATTTTTTTTTATATTTTTGGTAAAAAGAAAATTATAAATATTTTGCATCGAAATTTTCCTTAAACGCAATCAAGGAAAGGCTGATATAAGGATGAAAAAGGATGCGTTTGCAAGCAAAACTGAACTCCAGTAAGAAAAACCTATGCACTCACAATGAGTGGCCGACCTTAATTCTTCGAAAACGATGCCGATACGCTGTTGCCATAGAGTCTTAACATGGTAATGAACATTATATGGTCTAAATTAGACGACACGGACACGGAAAATATGTGGTTTCAACAGAACCGTGGTACTGGTCACACAGCTTATGCAACAATCGCCCAATTGCGAACATCTGCAGTCTTATTGAATCACCCTATATTTTCTATATTTTGAGAAAATTTATTTCTGACCTGGTGCCAAATAATACAAATTTCGCATGGTTTTTGCTCTCTACACGCAAAAGTTTCACACCCGTATTAAAAAATCATGTTTAGTCAAGTGACAGGCAAATACAATCAGCATGATAGTAAACATAACATATCCATGACAATTGCGTAATTACTGAAGTAATGTTGAAACAAGTTGGACAAATATGGACTCTCAAAGTCAAGTGCTCATTAACTAAAGCACCACGAAAAGAGATTATCTAACAATTAGCAAGCAGTGACCAATCGAGGCTATGAAACAAAAATCAGTGGCACACGATAATACAATAAGTATCCAATTTGAAAAAATAAAATAAATAAATAAAGATAGCTGTGACACTAGAAAAAAACTAAATAAATAAAGAAGCTAGGCTTGGCACCAAAAAAAAAGCATAGCGCAAAGCAACAAGCGGATAAGTAAAAGTAAATATATTACAAGCGCTGCCGTGATTTTGGAGACAACGCACGCTTACTTTCGCCACTTAACGTGCCGAATCACGCGCGCCGCACTGCTGACCAGCTGTTTTGATTACCTGGTCGATTGACGCGTCAATTTCTCAGCTGCGAAGTGTCCAAACATATTCGCATACGTCCGTATGAATGTGTCGTCGATAAACGTTCAGCTCAAGGCAATGGAGCAGCTTGTTAACTCGCCACGAAAGGCACACGCTTTACCGAATTGCCCCGCTTATAAGCGAATTAGCAAAGTTATTTGCAAAAGAAGCGTGACGCGTCTGACAACTCGCAATGGCGCACTTCAGTGCTGGTGCTATAACGTCACACAGGCAGCGAAATGGGCTCGCCGAATGGCTACCGGGTGCGCTTCACCGCTGCGCCATGGTCAGTCAACGTTCGGCCGTGGAGAAATGCGCGAGTGTCCGAGACAACAGTAAATGATCAGTTGTTTAAGTGAAAAAGTGCTAACATAGAGTTCCGTGCGACCAGACAAAGGTTCAAGACGAAATGCATACCAAAAACCTACTCTACGCCTTGCTGTTAGCGGGCACCCTTATCGCGTTTCGTCCACCTGCAACGCAAGCTGCATACGAAGTGAACTTCCTGCATTTGAAAAGTGAACCAGCTGTGATTATACGACAATCGCAGAATACCTTCATACAATGGGTGCTATCACTGCTGCCCAATCGGCCATCTATACTGGGAGGCCCAAGCATCACAACGACTACAGTAGCGCCGGATGTGTTGGTGAGCACAACAGAGTTGCCACCACAACCTCAACCAGCTACCGCCACGCCTGCCGCAGTGACCACCACCACCGCCGAGCCGACGACCCTAGCTACAGCGAGCACTACAACCACCACCACTGCGGTGCCCAGCACCACACCTGCGCCGCCACCGATCATACTCAATCCACCACGCAATTGCACAGAATGCGTCTGCGGCATCGCCAACACACAGAAACGCATTGTTGGCGGACAGGAGACCGAGACCCATCAGTATCCTTGGATGGCTATGCTGCTCTATGGTGGCCGCTTTTACTGCGCTGCTTCGCTCATAAATGATCAGTTCTTGATCACTGCTTCACACTGCGTTTACGGTTTTCGTAAGGAACGCATTAGTGTTCGCCTGCTGGAGCATGATCGCAAAATGTCAAACTTTTTGAAGATCGATCGCAATGTGGTGAATATCACGACTCATCCAAAGTATAATGCGCGTACATATGATAATGATATCGCCATCATACAGTTGGATAAGCCTGTGGAGCTGACAGAGCTATTGCATCCAGTCTGCATGCCTACGCCGGGCAAGTCATTCAAGGGTGAGACGGCAATTGTGACTGGCTGGGGTGCTATTAAGGTGGGCGGACCAACCGCTGACACACTGCAGGTGAGTGCTATTTAAAATTAGTGGATCACCAGAGAAATGAGCTACATACTTAAGATAGTTTGGTTACAAAAAGTTATAGGCAACTTTTGTCATCCAAAGATTTTGTTTTGTACGTTGTTTTCATAAACGTTAGTTTCTTAAATTTATTCCACTTCTGAATTTTGGAAAACGAATCCAAATTTGAATAGGTATTTTTGACTGTTTTATTGCGCGGCTTTTGAAAACTCACATCTATCAGCTGTTGTGATACCACTACCACGTCTAGAAATCTCGCAACCCCTTGCTTATCCTTTGGAGTCTCCGGGGAACCACCCCATATTGGTGGTGAAGAAATAACGAGCTAGATTTCAAAACAGTTACAGAGATGATGAGCAATTTTCTGTTTACAGCTATTGCAGCATTTGTGAAATGCTATCCCGAGCTCGTTGAAGCTCCAATAGTATTTCGTTGATCCTCTCTCAATAAATCTGTATATGATTCGAGTCATTTTACAATTTAGCCTCGGTCAGGCTAGCCAGGAGATTCGTGATGTGGTTCTGTATATACATTTTCCATTTGCCAGGGCATAGGCCAATTCTTCCAAAAGACGCTTGCAAGTGACAGGTGAAGTGACTCAAATTTCCGCTTAAATTCAACTTGGCTGTCAATGAAAGTTAAAACATCTTTACCAATTTTATCTGTTCCGAGTTACTTACAGCCTCCATAATAGTTGAAACCTTATCCTGGAAGGCTCACCGTTGTCCGATATCCGAAAAAGCAATTTAAGAGAAATCACCTTCCTCCTCATTTTCCCTACTAGCTCCAAGTCACGAGTAACTCTGATAACTTCAAGACTACTAGGTTGAGTACAGAAGTTTTCCCCCACTAACCAGAGCCTGTAAAATAACCAAAGTTTATTGTTACAAAGGGCATCTCTATCTCCTGACTCACCAGTGCACATAAAAAGCGGATGCATATTTTTTAAACTGCCTTGGAGAAATACTAGACCATTCAGAAACCAGAGCTACGTTTCTATAAACAAAGTATGTGTGTATTCTTTAAATCAATGGAAGAGATTAAAGCTTTATACATTAGGTGTCCCGCCATGCTGTATATTACGTGGTGCCACGTCTTGGAAGTTGTGTAGAGGATAAGCGTTCAATGTAGGCTTCTTTGTTGAGGATTTGGAAACTCCACAAAGTGAATTGAAAAACCCTCAGAAAAAAATTTGATACATGACATGCACTGTCAGGTTCGACCTCTATCTCTCTTCTTTTCGATTTCTATTTGAATATAAGGGAATGTAACAAGCCAGCATCGTCTTTTCACTTTCAATTACACTAACTTTATGATCAGTTATATTTCTCTTGATTCTAAAAATTATTTTAATATGTAATTGTCCATAAATTTTTTTTCTATTTCTTCTCTACAGGAAGTTCAAGTGCCCATTATGTCGCAAGAGGACTGTCGCAAATCACGCTATGGGCCAACGCGGATCACAGATAACATGCTCTGCGCTGGCTTCGATGAGGGCAAGAAGGACTCCTGCCAGGGAGATAGTGGAGGACCGCTGCACGTTGTGGCGCCAGGTACCCGAGAACATCAAATTGCCGGCGTGGTATCTTGGGGCGAGGGCTGTGCCAAGGCTGGCTTCCCAGGCGTTTACGCACGTGTCAATCGCTATGGCAGTTGGATTAAGATGGTGACAAGAAATGCTTGCCTCTGCCATTCGGAGACGAAGAAGATAAAGAAACTTTAAGGGGGGAGGAAGCGGGGCAAAGACGTGAATGATTTCGAAAGTTTGTGCAGCGCATAGAAAGCGGCTTGTGGGTGGGGCGGTTATACTACTTGTATTTTTATGTAGGTCAGCTTAGCTGTAGTTTGTGTAGGCCTAGGCTAGTTTTCACATTTTTCGCTTATTTGTTTTATTTATTTATTGCTTTTAATAAACAACATGAATTATAATTGCGACTTTCAAATGAAGCCGGATTTCGCAAAGCCGATTTTTCGTTTCGTTTTGACCAATTTGGGAACTTTCCTTCCAGCTGTGGCCTGTCTTCGCTGCTACTTTATTTTTCTTTTTATGAATATTGCCGCTCTAAATGCGCTTCGTTGTTGTTGTTGTTGCTTGTCCGTCACGGCACGCATGAATTGGCCCACTGCACCCAACTTGCATATCAATTAATCCCAACGGCAGCCAGTTTTATTTGAGAAAGTTGTTTGAAATGCAGTCGCTGTTGATGGCGGAGGATCTGCATGGCCATCGGACGATTTCTCAACTAACAAGCTGCGCCTAAACCAGCTGGCCAAGTGGCTTAAAAGAAATGGCTTTTCAGCACAGTTCACCTCATTGACTTCTGCGCACATCGCTGGCAATCAGTTGCTGCACTCTGCTGCATCTTAACGGTTCATAACGGTGAATTTTGGTGGCTCATAATTTTTGCGGCAAATATGGCTAAACAATTCTGCTTGCTTGCCGCACTAGTCTGTGCGCTAACTGCAATGCAGCTGGCCGTCGCTTCAGATGCACCAGCAAAAGATGTACCACCGACCGATGCAACACCAACCGCCTTGCGGCAGGATAATTTCATCGAATGGATCACTTCAATACTGCGTCCGACCACCACAACGTCCAAACCCAACGTACTGGCAACGACTACACCCACCACACCAAACCGCAACTGCGCATCCTGCAGCTGCGGCACCATCAACAAGTTCCACCGCATTGTAGGCGGCATGGAAACCGAGGTAAATGAATATCCTTGGATGGCAATGTTGATGCGGCGCGGTGACTTCTACTGTGGCGGTACGCTGATCAACGATCAATATGTGCTGACCGCAGCGCATTGTGTGCGGGGCTTTAATAGGCGCATCGTCTCCGTGCGTCTACTCTCACACAACCGCACCGATGGGCGTGTGAACACAATTGATCGCCAGCTGGATTCTATTATAGTGCACGCTGGTTATAGTGGCAGGAATTTGGATAATGACATCGCACTATTGCGTTTCACCGAACCACTTAAGTTGCGCGAGCCGCTGCGCCCAGTTTGTCTCGCTGAGGCTGGCAAGACATACGAGGGCGAAATGGCTGTAGTCACTGGCTGGGGTGCGGTGAAGGAGGGTGGCTTCATCGCGGATCGCTTGCAGGTGAGCTGACGATTGGGTAGAATCGCTGACCAGACCTAATTTTCGCATCTTTCAGGAAGTGCAAGTTCCCGTCATGTCGCAGAAGACCTGTCGCAAGAGCAAATATGGCGCCGATCGTATTACGGATAACATGCTTTGCGCTGGCTACACTGAGGGCGGCAAAGACTCTTGCCAGGGTGATAGCGGTGGGCCGCTACATGTAAGCCACAATGAAACGAAGACTTATCAGCTGGCTGGCATTGTATCTTGGGGTGAGGGTTGTGCACGTCCGAATGCACCCGGCGTCTATACGCGTGTCACGCAGTACTTGGATTGGATTGAGCAGCGCACACGTGATGCTTGTAAATGTCAGGCAACAGCGGGAGGTGGGGGTGCTGGCGCGGGCGCGGGTGAAGGCAGTAGTAGTACTGAAAGTGTAGGAGCACAGACTAGTAGCACGGTAGGTAGTAATCAAAGCGGAGCAGACGTCACTAGCACTGCTGCTTCTGTAGCAAACAAAAATTGTAACGCTGTAGAAAGTTCTGGAATATGAGAAGACGAGCAAATGTTTGGAGAAAACGTTTTTAGGTAGGAATGTTAAAAATATAAAACTGTAATATGTAGTAGAGTTGCTGAAGTGGTATGAGCTAGAAAGTTCATTTAAGAAAAAGCGGAGCCAATCAAAGCGTGATAGACATGAGCTAGAAACATTTGAGATCATAAGTTTAAACAGAAAAAAAATCATATCTCAAAGAATTTTGAAAAAGAGTAGAGAAAACAAAGGAGTTGCTAAGGTAGGTAATTAAGAGTCAGTGGGGCTAAGAAGGTTCGAGAACGGAATCGGGAAAAATATATACGAAAAGGAGCACTAATAAGTGTATGGATTGGGGTGGGTCTTAAGCATTTTGAAATCATGTGGCACCGCTTAATTTCGTTTTACGTACAAAATAGAGACATGCACGAAAATATAAAAATGTTTGAAAAAATTTTTTTTTAACTTTATAAAATTTTTAATCAGCCTTTTTTAAGGTTTAAAAAAGTTTAAATTTCAGCCATGGCAGCGACCCCTAAAAATGTTTGTGAAAATTTAAAATTTTCTTAAATGTCTTTTTGTATGTACGTAGAACAAAATAAGGGGGTGCCTCATACAAAATTTAGATGATGATATTTTAAGGAGCACCCTTGTATGCATAATTTATAGTTTTTCGCTTTTAATGAATTTTGAATTTTGTGCTACTTGAATGAAATAATAGAGAGAATAAAAGCGAGCTCAGTAAGCGCGTCTATAAGAAAGAAGATTTTAGATATTTTATAAGTAAATTATTTATGCATTTATATTTTTGAATATGGATACAATTAAATAAAAGAATACTCGTTTTTGAAAAAAAACTAGACTGAGTTAAGCCTCACTCTAGAAAAAAGAAGCCAGCAAACACACAAATATTAGACTGCGCTGCAAGTATAGCAAAGAGGGGTGATGCCCTCACTTACAAGAGTCCGAAACTGGCAGCAATATGCAGATCTCTGATTGCACAAAGGTGATAGAGCAAATATTATTCGCTGATCAAACCTACAGAAGCTTTAGAGTATATTACAGCTTCCTAAAGAATGTCAAGGTCTTTTGAAATCCTAGGAGTAAAAATAAGTATCCCAAGAAGTAATCCTTAGTGGAAATCTCTAAGCAAACGATTTTTAAATGATGTTAAGACGTAAAGGCTTCTACTTGATTTCCAAGACGTCGCAATTTTTTATATGAGTCTAGAGAAAAGGCCAAGAATTTCTTAAAGCTAAATAAGCCAAAAGGATCGAAGAGAATACATTTTAATGAACTAAGAAACGTTCCCTGACTTAGAGTGTCTTTACCCAAATCTCCAACTGGTTCGTAAGTAGATTGGTAAATGGACCGAAGGTACCAAGGAATCTCCAGATTGCTAGCAGAAATCCATTTTCAAAGCTTTTTTCTACTGTAAGTTTTAATTACTTGTTCATCTCCCAGTCCTAGCGATTTAATTCAATATCATATTCCATCCTGATTTCCTTTCGAAAATTCAGGGTCTATGGACGGCAGCTAAGCTATTTTCCGCATCTTAAGCGTATAAGCACTTTGCACATTCCCTCAACAGCTTAGCTGATCACACCTTAGACGGAACAATTTATGAACGAGCGCGAGCGCGCGCGTCTCCAAGGTGACGATCGATTTATGGCAGCTGTCAATCGACACTGTGATTGCAACGTTGCACACTATGCGCGCATACATTCATGCAACGCGCAAAGCCGATTAGCTTTTGGCTTAAGTTTTTGATTTGATTTTCGATTATATGGTGAAGAAATTACATTTCGGATTACAAATACCAGGTATTAAAATTTGAGATTTTCTATTTCGAGTCTAACAGCGTTGGCATTGGAGGCTGTCAAATCGATTTTACTGATTGCGTTGGCGTATGTGGGTGCAAGAAAATGAAAGAAATTTTATGAAGGAAATTTACAATAAACTAAGAGTAAGTAGCATAGCTGCAGTTGTGGCAAAAGCAGCTGTATGCAGTAAGAAATTAGACGCTGCTAGTCAATCGGCAGCATGTCGAGCTGCAATGCGATCGCTGCAAGGTTGTAAATTGTGTACTTAAATAGCCTTTTGACGCAGTCAAGTATTGTGGGTGGCATTTTTATGGAATTTTATTGGGTGTACTTTTGTTTTTGGTAAGATGGCAATTCTTTTTATAGTAGACTTTAATACTTTGTATTGCTTGGGGTATTTAAATTTAAAATAGTTTCTTATTTGCTGGCACTTTTATGTGTGAAATTTTTGAAGCTAGTTTGTTTATACTCAGACCTTGTTTTTATAAAATAGTCTCCTTAGTATTAGTTCACAGATTATACTCGCTGTTGGGCTTATATGAGTTAGACTTTCGGAGAGACTGTTCTTTTCTATGGTGTATAGTAGATGCCATCACATCCAATCATTCTCAGAGACCTCATCTATATATGCAATTATAGTTCAGCCGCCAAAGTCTTGGAAAATTTTCCGGAAACAAAATTTTAAGTGAACTTAAAGTAGCAACATAATTAAATACATATATGCCAGCTGCTTTGTTTTGAAAACCTCGCATACTGGTCTAAGGAAGATTAAAGCTTTTAGATCCATTTGCTTGCTCAAAAAAGTGCCACTGCGTGAATAATTTTGCAGCATAATCTAACAAAAAAAAACTTCAAACAACTACAGAGCTTACTTTTGCAGCATTTAAACGACTTAAAGTTAAAAGGAAAAACACAAAATAAATTTCGAAAAAAAAATCCAAAATTACATTTAAACACACCCTAATTAACGTAGGCACCAATTCAAAAAAGATTTCAAAAACAGCTGAAACTCGAACAAAAGATGTCCAACTTGCGAGAAGCT